CCATAGGAAGACCGAAATGGGGCACAAGATGGAGAGACAGTAAGAGAGAAGACAAAAATTCTAAAAATGAAATAAGAAGTGAAACTTAGTGGACTTACAGGTTGAAATAAAAGATGGTTTCACTTCTTATTTGTGCATCTTTAATTTCAACATGTAAGTCCTCTAAGTTTCATTTCTTATTTCATTTTTAGAATTTTGGAAGTGAAAGAGTTGTGAAGATGAAGTCCTCTAAGATGGTTTCACTTCATCTTCACAACTCTTCACGGTTTTGAAGAGTTGTGAAGATAAAGTCTTTTCGGAAGTAAAAAAACAGAGAAGATGGTTTTCAAATCACATTAAATGGATGAAGATTTCAAAGGAGCGGGAAACTTCACACATTCCACATTGTGTCCCATCCAACGCGTCAAAGATAGAATGGTGTGCCCATTATATACTTGAATTTCAAGGCGCCTCAAGTTTGTCAAAGATAGCCAACTAAAACGGCCCTTCGGCAGTCGACCACACCAACTGCTTGGAATTCAAGAATAGTCAGGTGCTCGGGAGGCAATTGTGGGAGCCGAATAAATAAATCCCATTTAAAATGGGCTAAATTTTCTTAAAGCCTGTTGGGTTGGAACACAACGCCAAGTAGGTTAGGATGAACGAAGGGCATTTGTCGAGTAACAAACCAGGACATGAGGCAAAGCCAGAGGAATAGACATAAATCGGCATAATGAGTGGGCCCAAGTTATCCCATTCAGATATGCAGTAGAAGTATCGGCCACGAAAAAACAATGACGAGAGGCTACCATAAAGAAAATATCTATGAGGATGGCTATAAAAGGAGGGGAAGAAGGAAGGTAAGATAAGATACCCACATTTTGATAAATAAAATTTCTACTCTCTTCTTCTCTCCTTCTTTAAGGAACTAACTTGCTCATTGAAGTGCTAATTTAGGTACCACCGACTGGAGTGTTCTTTCTGTTTCAATTATCAGAGCGAGGATCCCCTAAGGGCTCGTTTGGGACAGAGGAGTATTGTAAAACCACCCCTCACAATAGTAATGTTAGAAATACATAAATCAAACTTAAAATATGATACTATCCTCTCATAATGGACCCATCCATTGGGAGAGGGTTGTATCTCATTCTTTATTTAGTTTATGTATATATAGGCTTACTCTCCATTAAGGCCTCGTTTGGGAACAGACTAATTTAGTAATTTTTTAACTATTTGGCTAAAATATGAGCTAAAAAAAACTAGTATGTTTGGGATGACTTTTTGACTTTTTACGAAAAGATGTGCAAAAAGTAGAGAGAAAAAAGAATTTTTGACTTTTTGGTATGAATTGTTGGCTTTTTGACTTTTTTAATAATTTTTTGACTTTTTGACTAAACGGGACGCTTTCCAAATGAAGCCTAAATATCAAACTAATAATTAATATTCTATTGATCTTATAATTACCTCTTTAATTAATGAGAAAAACTCAAACGTGACTCATGTCCACCAAATTTAACATTACAACTAGTATTTTATTATTATTATTATTATAAGAGTATAGATATAGGTAGTACGGTATATGGTTTGCATTGTTTAGAACAATGTCTTATCCACACATGCTCCTAATTTTGAGAGTGAATGCGAACAAAGTTTTGGGATTTTTTTTTTATTTTTTTTGCGTGGGCGATGATCCGGGAGTCCCCCATCATACAAGTCAACTTGGGAAAGAATATTGAGAAATTCACCTCACTCTAATTTCAGTTAAAAATTATAAAAAGAATGATGAAATTTTGAATTCAAGATTTTTCATAAAAATCGTTACCTTACCAATTCATTCAACCTTGCGATTTAGGCCAAGTTTGGAATATTGAGAAAATAACAATAATTCATCCCACTAAAAATATCACCACTAATAGCACTAATACATTAAAAAAGTAAAAAAAAAAAAAAAACACAACTCCAAGATCAAAACATCACATCATTAATGGCGAGACTCACTGCCACCTAATTAGTGGGAGCACTAATTAGTGCTCCCAAGCATTTTTCTTGAGAAAAAGTTAAAAAATCGAAAAGTTACTTAAAAAGTTAAAAAGTTAATACTATTTATCAAAAGTCAACAATTATGGCTGCACAACTCCCAATCCTAATTTTTCCCTACAAACTAATTTTTACAATTTTTAAATACGTATTTTTTCATAAAAAGTTAAAAAGTTAACCCAAGCATCTATATTTTTCTCTTCAATTTTTTAATTTAAAAAGACAAAAAATACACTTATTTAAGACATCACAAACATCCTCTTAGTTTTGGTCATGTTGGTGCTCAACTTCCCCCTTCAGATGCTGCCTAGAAATTATAACCTCCCTCTAAAATATAAAATAAAACAATTGACAAACACAAATATTTTATCCAAGAACATATCTTAAAAAATATGTATAATTTAAATTTAGAGTTATTTTGAAAATTAATTATTTTAATTAATATTTTATGAAAAGATGGTGCGGAAGCATGGAGAGAAAAATAGATTTTTTTGTAATAACTTTTTTTGAAAATTTTATTTTTAGCTAAAATAATTAATTGTCAAAATAAGCCTTAGTAAATTTTGTACACATTTTGAGTCTTTTTTTTTGGGTATTAAATTTGAGATTGGTAAAGGTAAAATATAATTTTTAAAAAAAATCTAAATTTTAAAATGCATAAATTAAATTAATTTTGGTATATGTTCGACATCAAATTACATTTAAATTTAAACTGAATTTAAAATTTGACTTTTTTTAAAAAAAAAAAAAACATAATGTGTGTGTCTGGTTTGAGTTTTTCAGATCAAATTTTTTGAAAATTAAGTTTTTTATTTTTCGAATTTTTTGTTTTTAGTGAATATTTTTAAAACTTTAAGCATTTTTTTTACTTTTTTATATGTTTCTTATTTAAATGTATCTAAAAAGTAAAAAAATTGTGAAAAAATATTTCAAAAAATTAATAAATACCTAAAAATATAAAAAAAATATACTGAATTTTCATATTTTTTTTATATTTTTGGTATTTAGTGAATTTTTAAAATATTTTTTTTCACAAAAGTTATACTTTTAATGTGTATTTATGTTAAGTATGTCTAAAAATTAAAAAAAATTACTTAAAATATTAAAAAAATTAGTAAAAAAAAAATGAAAAAATAAAAAAGTTTGCTTGTTTTCATTTTTTAGAAAATACTTTTCAGAAAATTCTACGTTCTTATTTTCCGTATTTTTTTGTTTTTACTGAATTTTTTTAATATTTTAAGTAATTTTTTTATTTTTTAGAGACACCTAACATAAATACACCTAAAAAGTAAAAAAATTATAAAAAAAATCTTTTTAAAATTCACTAAATACCAAAATTACAAAAAAAATACAAGAATTCAATATATTTTTTATATTTTTATGTATTTATTAATTTTTTAAAATATTTTTTCATAAATTTTTACTTTTTAAATACATCTAACTAAGGTGCATCTAAAAAAATAAAAAAAAATATTTAAAATTTAAAAAATATTCACTAAATTAAAAAAAAAATCAAATTAATACTACATCTTATCAATTTTAATAATTAAAGTTGTAAATTTTTTTTATAAATTTGTAAATATTTTATGACAACCCAACTAATTTGCAATCCGCCCCCCTCCCAAAAAAAAAAAAAAATTAAAATTCTCAGTCATAAAACCCAAAAATCTCAACCGTCCAAACCTTCCTCTCTTTGATGATTCCATTAAGTGAGGGTATTTATGAGGAATCCCGGAACATTGTTTACTGTTTCAAATCAATGATTGTGAAAAATTTTAAGGTTAATTTTACTTTTATTTTTATTATTTCAAAAAAGTTTATAAACAATTTTTATTTATTGAAATTTTTATAACAAAAATATTTTTTATTGATAAAATTAAATACTTTTTCATCAAAAAAAGTATAAATATAAGATTCATCATAGTAATTTTTTTTTCCATAACTTTAATTTAGTTAATTGTTTCACTTAATATATATGAATATTACGTAAAAAAAGTCAAAAAGCCAAAAAGTCCTTCCCAAACCAAGCTAAAATAGCCCAGGTTAAAATAGCCAAAAAGCCAAAAAGCCAAAAAGCCAACCCACTTCCCAAACGGAGGCTAAGTGAGGGTATTTATGAGGAATCCCGAAACATTGTTGACTGTTTCAAATCAATGATTGTGAAAAATTTTAAGGTTAATTTTACTTTTATTTTTATTATTTCAAAAAAGTTTATAAACAATTTTAATTTATTGAAATTTTTATAACAAAAATATTTTTTATTGATAAAATTAAATACTTTTTCATCAAAAAAAGTATAAATATAAGATTCATCATAGTAATTTTTTTTTCCATAACTTTAATTTAGTTAATTGTTTCACTTAATATATATGAATATTACGTATATATTGTCATGTTGTCACATGACATGAATATTAAGAGGGCATGTAATAATTTTTGGGACAATTTCTCATTTTTCGAATATCATATCTATACTGTTATATATATGAGTATATGACGTGGTGTCTAATAATATAGTAACTTCTCCTTCTATTATGTGATAAATTTTTTTTATTCTAAAATAAAAAAATATTATTTAAAAGTATAAGTAAGATTTAAATTCAAAATCTTGGATTTTATTAAGAACACTCTTACATATTATGATATTTCTTTATTATTTATTTTTATACTTATTTATCTAAATTGCACACAGATTGTGTGTGCTACCCACTAGTGATAATCACACTTTAACCTGACATATTTTTTGAATTAAGTTCCTAATGGTAATCACACTTTAACTTAATTTGAGAAATAATTATATTTCAATCTAATTATTAATTTTAAATTTTTTTTAAAAAAAGCTTTAATATTCTTTAATTTTAAATTTTAAAAAAAGAAACTTTAATATTCCTTAAATAAGGAGTCAAGTCAATGAATGACCACCGTTTTGTCTCCGTGTCTTCGCTTAATCTAACGACACAAACTAGAAGCCGAGACCCAAACACCAATCAAACCACAAGAAGCATTTTCTCTCTCTCTCTCTCTCTCAGGGGTATAGTTTCCCTCTCTAGGAATTCTTTCCAGATGCTCAGTTCTTCAACTTGAAATTAAAGAAGTTGAAATTAGGGGGGGTTGTGGTGTGGTTTTTTGATCCTGTGTGTTGATTAATGGAGATACCAAAGAAGAAGATGAGGGAGGAGACTTTTTTGGAGGCCTTCTCTCCCATATCTTCTACTCCTGTTTTCTGGAAGTCTCGCAAAAGATCAGGTACTCTCTCTCTCTCTGTCCTAAATTGTTGGATGATTTTTGGACAAGACCCATCAAGAAATGTATGAGAACTGATTTAATTTTAGTAGATCTGTCTCTGGAAAGTTGAAACTTTTATGAATATGAGAGTTTCTTCTTTTGATATATGATTCAGCCTCAATTCTACTCTACCTTGAGATGGCTGTCCAGACTCCAAAGACCCATGTCTCTGAATTCTTGAAAGTCCATACCTTTTCTCTCTCTAAATTCTTGAAAAAGTTGTTTTTTGGTAGAATTATGGCTGAAATATTGCTAATCCCACCTATTTGTCTAATTATCTACAATACCCAACTCTCTAATACTCCTTTTGGTTCAGCATAAGAGAAAAAAGAGAAGAAATATGATTGTATTTTCTCACTGGTTTGGGTGTTTAAAAAAGCAAAATATGTGAAAAAGAGATATGATTGAGATTGTATATTAATGAGAATTTCGGTATTTAAAGTTTTATACCCAATCAATTTGTATATCAAAAATAACAAATAAATAGGTAAAATAATAAAGTTTTTTTTTTGTTTTTTTTTCACAATTTCTTATTATTATTTTTTTGTTATTTATCATCCAATTTATAAACCAAACATAACAAAATTGTTGTTTTGTCCTCCATCCAAATAGACTATAAAATGAGTTGAACAACTAGGAGTTGTTTGAAAATGTATTTGGTCCGTCTTAAAATAAAATTTATTCAAATTAATTTTAAACCAATTTTAATTAAATCAAGCGCAAGTTGTTAATATACTAAGTTGAGATAATAAGTTGTTAATAAATTTTAAAATACATTTAAACTTTACCTATTTATTTAACAATCAATCTTGAATAAATCTTTAACAAATCAAGCACGAGTGACATGTGACTTTGTTCATTTTATTTTTGTTTTTGGTCGAAGATAGAATGTTAATATGTTAGTAAAGTTAGTTTACAATTTAAAGGAACCTTTGCTGATCCATCAGCTCGAACCCCCAGATCTTCCACTCAACGCACCCTAAGGCGCAACTACATGCCACTCGCCCACAAGGGCCTCGGCCGTGTGACTTTGTTCACACATTACTTTATTTGCTTTAGTTGTTTTACCAATTTCTCTCTCTCTCTCTCTCTCTCTCTCTCTCTCTCATTAGTAAGTTTTTCTCATGATGGCTGGGCTGGGCTGGGCTGTTGGGGGCTCCCACCATATGTCAATGTCCCCCAGATATTTTTGCAATATTTACTCGAACTTTTTTCCTTTGTTTTTTTGTTTTTAAGCCATTTTCTAATTTTGAAGTCACCTCTATCAATACTGTTGTTGACTTTTGCATCCAGCTCTAAAAGCATTTTTTTCTATTTAAGGTCTTATATATTTGGCCAAATTTTACAGGATGTGATTGATTTTTCTTATTTATTATTGTATATAGCAGGGTGTGATATATTTTCTTCTCCAATTATTGCATTTCATAATCTATTACAGTTTTTTTTAATCAAATTGTTGTTTTATACCTTTTTTTTTCTTCTAAAAGGCTACTTTTCATATTAATGTAGAATGTAGACCTTCCACTTTAATATAATGAAGGCCTCAATAGTTTCTTGAGCAGATCACTAGTAAGTGAACATTTTGAATTGTCAAGGAACTTGAAAACTTGGCACAATAATCTTTCTATACAGCACTTTAATCTAGCTGAAATATCAAACCATGAGTATTTTTTTTTTTTTTTTTGAAATTATGAAAGAACTTTAAGATTCTATGAAGCACGGACACCTTGGAGAAGGCTACGTATCAGTGTCGGACACGGACACGCGTCGGACACGCAATGGACACGTGTCCGACACGCAGTGAAAGGTGTCCCCCTTTTTTGTTTGAATTTTTTGTCACTAGACACGTTCTGGACACGCTTAGGGACACGTTTGGAACACGGCGGGGTAAAATTCATAATTTATGAAACTTCTGTGGGGTCAATTTGTAAATAACAAAACCAGAACAAATTGTTGAACCCTAGATTCGAAAGAACAGAGAGAACAAAAGATAGAAAGAGAGAGAGAGAGAGAGGCTCGCCGGCGCACTTGGTAGCTTTTCGCTGGTCGATGGTCTGTCGTCGATGGTCCAAGGTACGACTTCCATGCTGTTCTTGCAGTTATCCAAGGGACGACTTCCATCTTCTTCTGCGACCTTCTTCTTCTTCTGCAATCTTCTTCGATCTTCTTCTTATTCTTCTTCGATCTTCTTCGTCTTCTCCGATCTTCTCTTCGTCTCTCTCAGTCGCTCTCTCTCTCTCTCTCTCTCTCTTACTCTCAATCACTCTCTCTTCTGCTGAGCTTCACATTTTATCTTGTTTTGTTTTTTTATTTTATATGGTTGATTTGTCTCTCCTCACTTTTATTTTTTTTTTCCAATTTTATTTTATTTTTTCTTTTCTGTCTTTTATATGGTTGATTTCATTATTTTATTTATTTATTTATTTATTTCTGATTACTAATCAATGATTAATTTTGTTAATTTTAATGATATGTTTTTATTAATTTTACCTTTTAATGATTTTTTTTTATATTTTTATGACATATATAAATAAAATTAATTATATCTATTGAACGTGTCCCCAACGTGTCGTGTCCTCTATTTTTTTGAAAATTTGCGTTTTCGCGTGTCCGTGTTGTCTCGCGTCGCGTACCCGTGTCCATGCTTCATAGTTAAGATTTGACCTTGGTAACAGATCAAATCCTAACATTTTAATTATTTCAATCTAAACTCTGAATTTTGAAAATCATATAAATTCAAACCATCCGTTTGTTATAACTAACGAAAAATGAATAATTTAGACAATTTGACCACTCTTTTTCCGTCATTACTCTTGACAGCCACCTTCCCCCTTTACCATTCTCAATCCATTGCCATTCATCCATCATTTTTTCCCATCCACTGCTACTCCTTCCTTTCCCCAACTCACTGCCACCCCTCTTCTTCCTTCCGCAATCCATAGCCATTGTCACCGTCCAACACCTTTGACAAAAAGTGGTTAAATTATCTAAATTGCCCCTATTTTGTTAGTTATAACAAATGGATGGTTATAATTAATAGCTTTTTAAAAGTTGAGAGGTTAAACTGAAATAACTAAAAAGTTAAGGTTTGATTTATTACCAAGTTCAAACCCTATGCTTTTTTTCCTTCTTTGCTAGAGGGAGTGCTCATTAACTTACCTTCTTTCATTCACCCTCCTTTTTATTTTATATCTTTTGTAATTTTTTTCAAAATTCACTCACAGAAACAACCTCTCTAGAAATGAGGATAGAGTTGCATATATCTTATCCACCCAGAACCCCTAAATGTTAGGAATTAACCCTTCATAACCAAGATCGGTGAGACACAAAATAACAAATAAGGAAGAAAAAACGAATTAAACAAATCACACACACAAGAACACAAGGATTTTCATGGTTCACTTCAGAATAGGATTGCGTCCACGGTTGCTGCGGTTTTCACTATGATCAAAAAAATACAACTCTTTTTTTAACCTAAAAGAGGCACTCCTCATCTATTTTTAAGTGTAGAATTAGAGTTATACAAAAGCAATATGGGAATTACGAAAGGCCCCTGGACCCCCTTCCCCCTTGGAGGAGGCCCTCCCAAACCCCCCATTGGACCCAGTGTTTGAGTGAACAGTAGGGTTGAGCGAACAGTACTTATCAGGGTCCACCGACCCAACATTAGTGTGGTCACCTTTTTATTTTAGATGTCACTCAATTAATGAATATTAACGTTTTTTTTTCTTTAGTTTTTTTTGTCATCATGAGTAGATTAGATTAACTTGGCTATTTACTATTCCTACCAAGAAGTCTAATTTCGTCATTTTTTTTCTTGTCCTAATCTATATGTACCTAATTGAGGAAGAATTCTTCCGAGAATATTTCAATCCAAATTTTCCTGTCTTGCCACTTTTCTTTTCTTTTCTTTTCTTTTTTTTTTTAGTGTGTTTTGTTTGATAGCGCTGTATCCGGCCTAATGGACTGATTAATCTGGGAGACCAATTATACCGCCCACTAGCGGGGATTCTAATTAAAGCAAGGGCAAAGCCCGGTATGGACGAGCCCTGAGAAATTGTTTGCACCTATGGGGTTTTAAATTTGAGATCATGGAGGGAGTACCCAACGCCCCAGGCCTTGACTACCAAGCCAACCCCTTGGGGTTTCCTGTCTTACCACTTGCATGACAATGAAAAGTGGTATGTAAGTTGTTTAAGGTGAAACAGTGATTAGATACGCTTTGATAACTTTAATTTGTAGACATGAGTTTCTGATGTCAAAGGTTAGGTCTGTAGACTCCATACCCAATCTACTCTTCTTAGATCCCAACAAATGGGGATTCGTAATTTTTTACATGGCTTTATGATAAAATTTAGAGTTGGTTTCATAACTAAACATTTGAGTTCAATAACATATGAAGCACAGGTACTTCTGAAAGAGAGTCATACTTGTATCGGATACCTGATATTCCTTATATAGTTGTGAATACGTGTTTGATACTTCTTAAATGTGTCTGATACTTTATGTTAATTTTGAAAAGTTTCAGATATTTTTGGACAGTCTAGGTCACGTATCTTAAACGATTATGAAGTTGTAACTGTAATAATTTTTGCATATTATCATAGTATAGTTATTAGAATAAATACAAGAATGGTTTTTTAATATTTTCCTATTTCTTTCTGAAGAAGAAAATAGTAAGATTAAAGTAGTATTATACTTATCAGATTTCATCAAATTAGCATATCCACTAAAAAAAGAAAAAGAAACAAAATAAACTGACTATTGTCTCTTAAACTAACATCTAACTTCTCTCATGGCAGCTAGCATTCGTAATGTAGACATGCCAACAAACGATACCACTGGTCAAAAGCAGGTAGAATCTCCCACTGAAGAAAAGAAACAGGATTTGGCAACAGCACTTGAAAAACAGAAAGAATCTCCAACTGAAGGGGAGAAGCAAGATTCAGCTATGGCTGCTGCTCTTTCTGAGCGGCGAAAGGCTCTATTTGAACCTTTGGAACCCGTAATCAATGTAAATGGTAAGCGACCATCGGCTGAGAGCTTACTCCCACCACCAGACTTCGACGCTGCAAGCTATCCACGAGGCTGGCTAATTGGGAAGAAGCGAAAGCTTGTGAATGTGGATGTCGTAGAGAGTATGCGGAGGATTGCCATACAGGAAATGAACAGAAAGGTGCTTTGCCAATCCCCTTGATTCTCTAATGTGTTTTTGCATGCCATACATTTTTTGATCGGCGAAACATAGTTGCTAGATTAGCACCTGTAGGAGTTAGCTTTCTTCACTTGCAAAGCACCAAGTATTTGCCTCCTAATTCAACTCCTCCTTAGAAAGAGTTGAAAACTCATAACCTCTCCCTTGGGGCTAATAAGCCCTTAGAAAAGTCATGGTGGCTAATTAGGCTAGGCCTAGTTGGTTTTTTTGCATGCCATACGTGTATGTGTACGTGTGCGTGCGGGTGTGTGTGAGTGAGAGAGAGAGAGACAGAGAGAGAGAGAGAGAGAAAGAGAGAATTGCTAAAGAAATTATTTTTTGTGAATGGAAAAGTTGAGTGACTTTTTAGCTATTGACAAATAGACTATTGTCTTTTTGGCTTATTTAGCCAAATAAGCTCAAAAACTGAAGCGGGGTGAGTTTGATTATGCTTGCAGGACAGGGAGATTGATGGCCTAAATGAGCAGTTAGAAGAGGATGCACGATGCCTAGAACGCCTGCAACTCCAGCTCCTAGAAGAACGAAGCAAGCGCTCCAATGTAGAGAGAGACAATGCAATGCTGCAAAACCAAATAAACATGCTGATGAACATGTTACAGGAGAACGAGACAATGGATGAAGGTGGCGCAGAAGAACCATGATTGTTACTCGTGTGTCGTTTGTTTATTCTTTTGTATATGTGTTTGGGGAGTAGGAAAGTGTAGAATTATGCACATAGGCCAGTGAGATGCCTACATCAGTATATTTTGTGTTGCTGCAAGTGTACCTTTCAATGTGTTGGTTGCTTGTACTCAAGTTATTCTCATATTAATATACATGGATTCAAAATAATAATAGTTGTATTAAATTAATCTCTCTTTTTCTTTTATGCAAAAAAAAAAAATGCTTGACCCCTCTGGGAATCTATGTTTACTACAATTTCTTATGCTGATTGAGCTTCTTGTTCACTTCCTCTCATCTATAAACCAAGTACATGATCTTTAATCTAGATAATGTGCACTTAAATTCCATTTGTTTTAGCTAAAATTGTTTCCTATGTTTCTCGAAAGCCATTTTCATTTTTTTGATACAATGTTTTACACAATGACAGAATTTTGAGGAACATCGGAAAATGATTTGTTCTGGGTGGGAATTATTTTGTGGTCGTTATGAGACAACCAAAGCCTTCTTGATGTCACCACTATAATCACCACCACCATGCATAAAACAAAATGCTTTTCCAAAAAAATTATTGAAAAATGTGTCTGCCAAAGCAAGTGTTAAATTGCTATTGGGTTGTTTTGAAAAGGATGATTTTATCTTGAAGAACATCAGTCGCTCCCAAAAATGACCAACTCCGAGTTATAATTTAACTATTTTGAATATATGGGGCTTGAAAGTAAAAATTCAGCGCAAAATAATTTATTCCCATATATGAAACATTGTGCAGCAAACGTGGTTTCTCATCCCCTAACAAATTGCATGCAACTGTACCAAGCAACCAGCAGAAGCCAATCTTCATTTCAAACTAAACCACAACAGAATCCGAAAACACAACAGGGCCACAAAAAGTGACATATTTACACGTTTTAAAAGTACTACATTTGAACAAAACCAGAAAGGCCAGCTTCCAAATGCAAACATTTCAGGATTCTTCATCAATATGAATCTCTGAATCCTCAAACTTCACAAAATTCAGTGAATAACTGCCAAACACAATCTATATTTACACCAGAAGTGCGCTTTTCACATACTTTTTTGAAGGGAAAGTAAGGTCACTCATTATCTAGCTTGATTGTCAAAATCTTCAGAGATGTTGAACAAGAACTGTGGTAGAGATGCTATCCTCGGAAGATTAAGCAGCAGCTCTCCAACCGAGTCCTTCCTGGCCATCGCTGGAGCCTGATTGCAACCAGATACATCATTGGATTCACTTGCTGATGCAGAAACTGAGTTTGGTTCACCTGTCCTCTTGTCCACCATTACATCAAAACTATTATTATCACCTTTAACCCGTGAGTTTTGGGCCGTCATAGGATCCTTCTGAAGAAGGCAGCAAAGGGAATTGACTCGTGACATGATGCATTTCTCATCAGAGGTTGATGTATACTGAGAATCACTGAATAAGCACCGGCTAATTTCCTCCAGGATCTCCAAGCTTTGTCGCTCTTCCTCAGAAAGGGTAAAATTGTTGGATGTTCTCTGTTCCAAGATCCGATGTTCGATGTGGCTTACTAGATCACTCATTGACATAGAAGAGTGGAGTCCAGGTACTTTGATTTGATCTTGATTGATTAGTCCCTTGAGTTCTTCAACTCTGCGGATCCTGATTTCTTCAATTGCATGGGTGTCCATCACTGAATTCAAAGACTGATGAGATAAGAGCAAGTACAGTTGAAACATAGGTTCTTATTATATTGAAGGTAGTTGATAAAACAGTTAATAGACTTGCGTCTTCAGGAGGCAAGAAAAAGAAAAAAAAGGAACCAAATGAACTTGCATTTGATAAATATTATAAACAAGAACTAATCTGATAATCAAATAGCAACCCAAATCAAAGTTCTTTAAATAAATAACCCACAAGAATAGAAAACAGGACACAAGAAAATCGTGGGTGCATATGGAAACAATGCACTGCGTGGTTAAAGTCCGCAATGCACTAGATCAGTATTCACAACCACATGGTAAGTGTCAGCAATGTGGGTGATCAGTATTAACAAGGAACCATCGTCCATAAATCTCTTCCATCCATCCACCCTCAACATCCAGAGAGGAAAATTTGTGCAGTTAACTAATTAGGTAATAGGAATACTAGAAGATGTTCTAAAGAAACCAAAATATCACTGCAATATTTCCACTGATCACATTACATTGTCAAGAAAAGTAAATGCAACCTGTTTGGCATACTTTAATTTAACAATTGGTAGTTTTCTTGTCCTTGATTGAATCCTTCCAGATGACTATTCAGCCTTTAGGTATTACAAATGGCCCTCTTGATATAACATTTGGAACTTGTTTCCATTTTTAAGATTTTAAGGCATCAAAATTTATTTTATGTCGCCGCATGTTTTTTCCTGTTTTGGTAGCACACGATTGGAAAAGTGACACAGAGATTTCTCCTGGGGGAGGAGTTTAGGTATCATTGAGTCGATTGGGGCTGGATTTGTCAACCTAAGGAGGTGAGTGAGTTAGGGGTGCGGAGTTTGGTGACTTTTAATAGAGCGTTGTTAGGTAAGTGGTTTTAGGGATTTGCTTCAGAACGGAATCGGTTATGACGTAGGGTGGTGACCATCAAGTATGGGGTGGGCAGGCAATAGTCGAGGTTTGTGGGAAGGGATTTGATTGGGTAAGGGGGAGTTTTGGGATAGGATGGGTTATTGGGTGGGGTTAGGGGAGAGTGCGATTTTGGAGGGATTGGTGGTGTGGTGAGATTCTGTTGGAGGTGTGTTTCCCTTCAATTTTTAGTATTGTTGTGGATTGAGAGGCTACGGTTGCTTCTTGATTGGGGGGTGGGGGCGTGGTGGTATAGGATATTTAGCTGCGTCGGCAACTTCAAGATTAGGAGGTTGGCCAATTGGTGGAGTTGTTCAGTTTCTTGTATGGGTTGGGGATCACGGGATGGGAAAGGATGTCTTGGTTTGGAATGTATGGGGTGCTAAGGGGCAGTTTTCTGTTTCATCGTTTTATCGGAGTTCGGTGGATGAGGTGGTGGGGGATTTTCCTCGGCGAAGTATTTGGGTGTCGTGAGCTCCTTCTAATGTGATTTTCTTCTTATGGATGGCCAACTTAGGATGGAACCTTACGACTGATAATTTGGTTCGTCGTGGTCATATTTTAGTGAATCAATGTTGTATGTGTTGTGCTGATGCGGAGTAGGAGGCTCATTGTTTCTTCATTGTTTAGCGGCTTCGCGACTGTGGGGACTTATTTGTTCTATCTTCGAGATTGTTTGGGTGCAGCCAAAGGGCCTTTGGAGATGCTTTGGAGTTAGAAAGGGGCTCGGGGTTGGTAGACGTCGATGGTAGATATGGTTGTTGGCGCCATTATGTTTGATGTGGTAGTTTTGGTTAGAACAGAATTGGTGACTGTTTTAAGAGGTTCATCATTGTCTGTCTTGGCTAGAGAGTCCATTATTAACAGTATTGTGTAGTTGGTTGGAAAAGATGGTGGATTTGGATTTGCTTGTTTTCTTAGATTTTTTAGATGATGTAATTAGTTAGGTGCTGTTAGCGTCTTCCCGTATTGGGTTTCTTTTTGTATTCTTTTGCATCGTCTTGATGTTTTCTCAATAAAGTTGTTTATTTATCAATATATATATATTTAATAACTTGGTTTGATCTCACAGATATAATTAGTTGATGACATTTTAAGTTCCATGTTCTTTCTACCTTTACAAATTAAGATGCATGGCACCAGTGATGATTTTTGGCCACCAAGCTTCTTTTTTTTTTTTTTTCTTTTCACCCCCCAATTAACCAAAGCTTAAATGGAGTTTTATTTAATGTGGGTGTTTGGAAAGTTACTATTTTAGTAGGCTATTTTAGTTTTTGGCTATTTTAGAAGGCTAAAATTTTTGTGTTTGGGAAGATAGTTGAATTTTTTTGTAATTGGATGTGATGTTTGTAAGATAAAAAATGAAATGCTTATGGGCTTGATGTGATATTTTGTCTTATTGACTATTTTAGCATATTGTCTTTTAGTACTATTTTAGCCAAAAAAGTTGCTTCCCAAACACCCCTAATGTCTAAATTGAGACATTAATGATGTATCCACTATTTAGATATCATTTACCAGTTAATATATCAAATGTCAATCCTCATCTCTGATCATGAGTGAAGAACAAAAGCAATGATAGAGAATACCCAGAAGGCCTAAAAGTATAAAAGATATCAGAAGATATGCACTAAAGAATGACCACTAGATTATAGGTTATCATCATAATCAGTAGATTACATGACATTGATGATTTTCATTTATGAGTTCATGATTATACCTGAGCTAGGTGAAGGTGTTTCACAGGGAAATTGTTCTGGAGGTCTACCAACTAGATCTTGTTCATTTGTTCGGGGGGAAGATTGACCCCCAGATGGTGATGCAGAATCCTGCAAATTGAAAAATGCCTGCCCTTCCTCACCATTCAAATCAAACCCATGGTTTGATTCATTTGAGTCTTCAAACACAGAAATTCTGGGTTCAAAATATGGAGATTCTAAAACTATCTCTTCTTGCTGACTCAGAAAGTTAAGGCGAGGATCACATTGAATAAGCTTTTCAAAATGCTTTCCTAACAATCCTGGAAGGCACTGCAGAAAATGTCGCCTGCAGCAAAATTAAGAATAACAAATTGCCATCTTAAATAACTCTTCCAACAAATCTGATGTAGGAAATTTAAAGCTCAGCAAAAAAGCTGAAATCATTTACCAAAAAATTCTTAAATCTTGAAAGGAGGCCAAACCACTTCTAAACATATCCCATAGAGAGAGTGGGTATGAGAGAGAGAAATAAAGAGCTGTCATAACTCGACTTCAAAAAAATTGCATCTATATTAACAAAGCATTAAGCCAAACTATTTAAGTCAGCCACATTTATCTGCCATGCCGTCAACTCTTTTGACATCCGTATCTCTTTGTAAACCCTTAGCAATTGACTATTTACTCACACTTTCAACCTGTACTCTTAAAATTTTTATGTAGACATATGACTATGCAAAAGCAGTTTCAGTCAATCATTCGACTAGTCCTTCCAATCTTCAACCTAGAGAAGCATCACACTTCTTTTTTTTTTTTTTTTTGAAACAGCATACCTATAAGACATTATTTCATATCCAGCAATTGGACAGAATTCTCTCTCTCTCTCTCTCTCTCTCTCTCTCTCTCTCTCAAAGTCCCCCAGCCCCTCTCTCTCTTTTATTTTAAGCTCTAGCCATTAGAATTATGCTCAGTAATAGAACACTATATTTGATTTAGTGTAACAAGAAAACAAGAAGAGGAAATAACAGAAGGCTGAGAAGATTGCAGGGGCATACAAGAAATTAGCTAGATAAAAAATTGGACAGTACATCACCACCTATTCCTAAACATGACCCAACAACAGCTTCTAACTACTGCCAGTAATCACTATCCATAAGTGGCAAGCACCATAACATTATTTTTACATGCAGTAACTGCATGACCCATAGGCCACGAGGACTTAGGTGGGTCACACAAAATGTGGATTAAGGTATAACATTAGAAAACTTCCACGATTTCCTTTCAATCTCAACCAATTCACACAAATGAATTTTTTTTTTCCCTTTAAGGTAAGTAATTCACCAGCATAATTTCTCTAGACTGCAGTAGTGGTAATTCAAGTTATATATATATATGACTTGTTGTAAGAGTTGCTTAGTACATTATCCACCAACTTCAATTTTCAATTACAAAGAAATATAAACATAAATGACATAAAATGATTAATTTTCCATATTCCCTTCACCATTAATATGCTAATATTTGCAGTATCGAAGGTTATATTTTCTATCATTTATAGTTTGCATGACAGGTAAACTTTGGGGTGAAATACAGTAAATCGCCATAGACAATAGAAGAAACGCATATATAGTACCTGTGATTGCTTGCCTGTCCACCAGTAAAATCTGGCGTTGCCTGCCATAAGGTATGCTTCCTGGGTTGTGGATTGGTCTCCCTGAAGAAAAGAGGTTGTCTAGCAAGCTGAACCAAGAAAAGAACACCCCTTTGTCACAATAATTTAAGTCATAGTGGCAGCAGCAGCAGTAGAAGCAGAAATACTAACGTTAACAATAAGGATTGGTTTAGATGAATGTGGATTTCAAATCAATGGATTTGAGGTTAAATGAATAGAAAAACAATGGAAGAAGATAAGTTGAGAAAGAAGATATATATTTTAGTAGGATCCTGTCGCTAGAAAGAGAACCCTTATTATGATTTCAAATAACTATTTGTATTTAGTTATTTCAAATCCATCATGATTAAGCTATTTAACTCGATCTTGAAATTCATGGATTAACTATCATATCTAAATTTGAATTTTGTCTTTGAATGATTAAGGTCAAATTCTTTGAATTTGAAATCCACATCCACCCAAACGGACCCTGCACTAGCAGCGATATAACAATGACTACTACATCAGAAATAAGGCACATACCACTACATCCAAAGTCCCGGGCCTGTCATCTGGGTAATTTGCCTTCAAAGCCATGATGTCAGACCACTGAATTTCTATCTTGTTCTTTAGACCACCGTCAAGGACTTCCCACACAAGCTTATGCTTTGCATAGTAACACTTCGCAACTAAATCCCCTTCATATCTTGATTTATACTGCAATTCATTAAAATTTCATTGATACAGGATCGTCAGCAAGGCTGAGAAGTTCAAAGCAATAAAATTACAAATTATTCTAAATCAACTGCAATTATACCTCCCAAGTCCCAATCCTGAGAAATGAGGCAGGAAAGTTTGAAGCCTTGAGCTTATCAGTAGCACTAGAAGCAGAGGTGGCCTTGTGCTCTTTCTTGACCTGTGTTCCAAACTTAGAAGCATTTCCTTGAGAAAGTGTCATTTGAATCAAATCCAAAAGCGATGGACTCTTCTTGAGCCGCAGGCCCAATGGACTTGGCTCATCGAGTGGATTGTATTGTGATGGTATTGGAAAACTACCAGATCCCGAGTTACACTGCTGCAGCGATATTAAATGATCATTTCACATTAAAACAAAATAATCACATATCATGTAATAAAGTAAACACAATGAGGTCATAACCAAAGACAAAATAAATAAAAAATAAACAAAGTAATACAGCCAATTTAAGAAAAAGAAACGGAAAGAATCACCTTGTTTGGTTCCAATTTTCTGAAAATTGGGTTTTTTTTTTTTTTTGTTTTCATTGAATTTTTTTAATATTTTAAATAATTTTTTAGTTTTTAGATATTTTTTGGTTCCAATATTTTAAAGAATCACCTTGTTTGGTTCCAATTTAATATTTTTTAGTTTTCACTTAATATAAATACAATTAAAAAAATATAATATTTGGAAAAAAAAAATATTTCAAAAATTCACTAAATACCAAAAAACAAATATATATATATATATATAAAATTCAGTACATTTACGTATTCTTATCTATTTATTAATTTTTATACAAATATTTTACTTTTTAGATATATTTAGGTTAGGTGCATCTAAGAAGTAAAAAAATTACTTAAAATATTAAAAATAAAAAAACTCAATTTTTAGAAAATTAAATTCAAAAAATTGGAACCAATTGAGACCCTAAAATGCCTCCACTAATTTTATCCACAAAGACATGGCATGATGGCAGGTTAACTTTTTTTGATTTATCACAAACTTAATCATGTGAACTCACTTCATTCTTTATTTTCTAAATTGTGGGTCTCTAGCATTTCCTCATAAAAAAATTGGGCACACTAAGGGTGTGTTTGGATTGAGTGATTTGGAGAGAAAAGAAAAGAAATAGAGAGAAATGTATTTCTCTTCCTTGTTTGGTTATCTTAAGTGGAGAGAAATGGGAAGAAATAGAGAGAAATGGAGAGAAACTCATTTCTCTCATAACCCTTATTTTCAATCTTCCCAAAAGTGGAGAGATTGGGAGAGAAAAGAAATCCACAAATGTTTATATTTTTATAATACCAATTTTACCCCTATAAAAATAAAAGAAATAAAATGATTGAAAATATAAAAAGGTTATTTTGGTAATATAACATAAAATAATTTCTTTTCTTTTCTCTTAATGAAATCTAACCAAACAAGAAGGAGAGAAATCACAATCATTTCTTTTCTTTTATTTCTTACTTATCCAAACAAACAAAAAAGAGAGAAATTACAATCATTTCTTTTCTTTTCTTTTCTCTTATTATTTAAGTAATCATTTCTTTTCTTTTCTCTCCTAAGTTACCAAACATAGCGTAACAGATCAACTTTTAGTGTGAACTCACTTCACTTCATGATCCAGATAGAACAAAAGTATAGCACTTTTCCCTACCCAAATAACGACTAAAAAGGGTCTCAAAACATTATCAACTACAAAGATCCAAAACTTTAGATCTCTTCAAACAAGTAATCACAAATCCGCACGGCTCTGTTTATTTAGTGTTAAAAAAATGTATATACAAAGCCTTATTTCAAATGGATCAGTTTTCCATAGAAATCAGAGATTGAAGTAATAAAACTTCCTTGAGAAAGACATTTTCCACCGAAACAAACAAGTCCAATCCCAATTTCACAAAACAAGCTCAAATTAGCAATCAACCATGTATATATATATATATAGAGAGAGAGAGAGAGAGAGCAAACCGGGGTATGAGAGGAGAGCTTAGATCGTTTGTTGAGGGGGCCATGTTTGTCCTCCAAAGGGTCCTCCACCTCCAGCTTCACCGGCACCATTTTCATGCTCTGAGATTCCGATTCCGGCAGAGTTTTCCCGGAATTCATCAACTGAACCATCAATATCTCTCGATCAGCTGCGAATTTGACCCCAAAGACCTCCAAAAGTCGATTAGGAGAATCTAAGAGAAAGAAACCCTAGAAAAAGCTATGTTACAATGAGTGCTTTCATCGAAGCCCAACAAGTCTTTATGGAACTGAGAGAGAGAGAGAGAGGGCTCACTCAACTATATAAATCCATCTCACGCGCTTCGGGAAGCAGCTCTGTATTTTAACATATTATTTTATTTGAATTATAATTATTTTAATTTATATTTAATATATTTTTTATAAAAAATTAAAAAATTTACTAATTTAATATATGCCAAAGCACTCTGCTACTTTGGCAAAGAATAGTTGCATCATTTTATGTACTCGAATCAAAATTTGAAAAGTTTTTGTGCACCCCATCTCATCCTTTTCTTAGGTCAAGTTTGGATACTTAAAAAAAAGTTAAAAAGTAAAAACATTATTCAAAAAATTAAAAAGTTAACACTATTCATCAAAAGTCAACAATTACGGCTACACAATTCTCAATCCTAATTTTCCTCTACAAATCAATTTTTACAATTTTTTATTACACATTTTTCTATAAAAAGTCAAAAAGTTAATCTAAACATCCATATTTTTTTTTCTCAATTTTTTAGTCCAAAAATTCAAAAAATACACTTATTTAGGACACCCCAAACAACCCCTAACTATAGGTAATTCCCTCAAAGATTTCATGTGTGTCTCTAACATCACGATGCACAATTTATCATGAAAAATTCAAAATACCGTCTATGCTAATTTTCAGAATAAAAAAAGAGTTGTGCTATACGTTTTTTTTTTTTATTATTTATTTTTTTTATCTTTTTTTTTTAATAATTGAGTGTTTGGGTCAGCTTGCGAACATATTAACTAATTCCAAGACCCTAATATTAACAACCGAATAAATCTCTAGTTTGTATCTATATCGTTTTTATAATAAATAAATTGCCCACATTGGTCATTTGTTCAACTCCTAGCATAACCAAAAAGACAAAAAGTGCACTTATTTAGGACACCCCAAACAACCCCTTACTATACTACACAGATCAACTTATTAACAATAAAAAAGAATTTAGTGTTGGGATATCAAATTTTGAATAAAATTAAATTGTTTTTAATCAACTTATTAACAATAAAAAAGAATTTAGTGTTGGGATATCAAATTTTGAATAAAATTAAATTGTTTTTAAAAAATATTTTATTAAGAAATTAATATGAACAATTAATTAGTTTGAAAATTGATATTTGAATAGTAAAATAATTGGAAGTGAAACATTTGTTTGTAGTGACATTTATGACGGTGAGAAAAAAATAATTACAAAAAGATAAAATAATAAAAAAATTTATAAATATTAGTAATTAAAATACTAAAATTTTTCATTAATTTATATACTTTTCGTCCCAATATATTAGTACTTTTTAGAAAATTTAACTTTTTTTATAGTATAATTATTACATTTTAAAAATATTAAAATTTTTTAAAATTGTTTTTTGATAATATATTTCTTATATTTTAAAAATATAAATATTAATAAATTTAAAAAAGAACAAAATAAAAAACTTATATTATTTTAGTAATTAATTTTTTTAAAAAATTAATATTTTAAGATAATAAAAAAAATAAAAAATTAATATTCTGAAACAGAGAGTAATTATTTTCTACTGCTGCATTGCAGTGTAATAGGGAATTGGAGATGCTGCTGTGCAGCCTGCGGAACAACAACTGTTGTGCAGTCAAATGAGCTCATTTCGGAGTCCATTTTAATAATCTGAACTGTTCACATTTTAAAATACATCAAGTGGAACATGTCTACAAAAAATCAAGTTAATCATATATCGTTTACCCATTCATCCACCCACTTTGTATTTATTTTGAATTGGAGATGCTGCTGGGCAGCCCGCGGAACAACAACTATTGTGCAGTGAAATGAGCTCATTTCGGAGTCCATTTTAATAATCTGAACTGTTCACATTTTAAAATACATCAAGTGGAACATGTCTACAAAAAATCAAGTTAATCATATATCGTTTACCCATTCATCCACCCACTTTGTATTTATTTTAATATTTTAAATCACAATTATTATTTATTTTTTAGTTCCAAATGTGAGTAAATGAATGAATAAATGATATTCGATTAACTTAATTTTTTGTACATATATTCTACTTAATATAATCTAAAATATGAACAGTTCAAATTGCTAAAATGAATTTCAAAATAAATTCATTTTACCGCACAACAATATTATTGTTTAGATTGCGCAGCAGCATCACAATTCCAGATAATAGTTAAGACTTGGGAAAAGGGTAGTTTCGTCCTTTGGAAGTGTGAATGCGACGTCAGCAAATTTGGCATGTTAGGCGGAGATGAAGGATCACGTGAAGCACGTGAGCGTTGCGGATAAATTCGTGGGACCCGTGTCTCGGGAAGTTTCGGGGATGGTAGTGGGCTGCGATTGGCTGGATATGACACGTGTTGAGATCCAATGCTGTCGGCGTGACACGTAAGATGCTGAATGGGAAATTATAGGACGGCGCTATGATAATTTGGTCGATAATAATTTAAAATTGTCGTTTTGTGGCCTAAATTTAGAAACACGCGAGGCTGCTAAGGATTGTGGAGGCTTCAATGCCACGCGCATGCTTTTCACTCCAATTACGACTCATCTGTCTAATATTAATATTTGGATAAATTACCGACACTGTTTTGGCAAAATTTTTGAGGTCTTCAATATAAGCATTAAGCACCTTAAATTATAATTTCCTTCTTAAAATTAAAATTTTTATTATGATTTAGTCCTTTTATTAGTCAATTGTTAAATCAATTAATGAAAAAGTTAATATAAAAAATTAATTTTTTAAAGTACGTATTTTACTTTTATTTACATATATAAAATTGACAAATAATTTATCGTCTAGAAAAATTTTATATACCTCAGTCATAATCTTTAATTATGATCTATTATAGTATGAGTTATAATTATTGATTATAAGAGTATCATTATCAAGCTCATGTGAGCTTTCTCTTGGCTATTTCATAGCATAAAACTATAGAAACACGCTATCAAACTCAATTATTAGCTAGCTCGTTTAGTTGAATATCAAATCACTAGTTACATATAGCCTCCGTTTGGGAAGTGGGTTGACTTTTTAGCTTTTTGACTTTTTTGGCTATTTTAGTCTGGGCTTAAAAGTTTGGTTTGGGAAGGACTTTTTGACTTTTTGGCTTTTTTAAGTTTTTTTATGAGAGAAGAATGTAATGATTGTGGGTTGGATGTGATATTTTGTTTGTTATGGCTAAAATAGCCTATTTTATTTTTTGTGACTAAAATAGCCAAAAAAACCTGCAAACCCACTTGCCAAACACAGGCAAATCACTAGCTACATATAGTTAGAGAAAGATGACTCAACAAATGAAATAAAAAATAGAGAATTTGTTAGTAAATGTATTTGAAAATATGGTTAACTAAAATAAAAAAAATAGACTTTTAGTTAAAATTTAACTAAAAATTTGACTATTTTGATTGAGATGCACTAATATTATTTTGGTTATGATTCAAAAACTATTTAGTTGTACCATATGCGGTGTTTAGTTATAACTATTTTTTAAAATTATGATTGAAAATGATCTAATTATAATATTTGTGATAATTAACACTACAAAAGCTTGTGTATCATATCATTACCTAAATATTTAATAGTTTAATAATATATGTATTAAATGAATTTTTATCATTCCCTGCAGATTTTCTTTACTCATCGACCATTAATTTTTTTGAATTTTTTTTAATAAGAGTAAAATAGTTATTTTAAAAAATTAATTGATTATATTAGTTTTTTCCATTATTGACTTAATGGTTGATTAATATAATGATTAAATTATAATGGAAGTTTATATCTTAGGGAAAAAAATATAATTTCTACAACGTAAGGAAATACTTATATTAAAGACAAACCATAAGAAATGTTAGTGTAATTTACCATTCATATTTTAAGGGTACTGCTGAATTCATGTGTGATCACATTTTTTATCACTCCCTCTCAATTTATTTTTTCATTAGAAAATTCATCTTATAAAAAAGGCACCTAATCATTATATTTTAATTTAAATTTTAAAATATTTTTCTTATTATTGTATTTTTATTTAAATTTTAAAATTTATTTATACCTTCTCCATTCTAAAATAATAATTCTTTATTTCATTTTTTATTATTCCAAAATATTAATTTCTTTTCAAAAATTAAGAATTAAAATAACATGAATTTTTTATTTTATCCTTCTTTTAAATTTATTAACATTAATATTCTTGAAGTGTAATAACTGTACTATCAAAGGGTAGTTTTGAAAAGTTAAAAATTTTGAAATGTAATAATTGTATTACCAAAAAGAGTTAGATTATCTAAAAAAAACTAATATTTTAAGACAAATGAAATAATAATTTATAGTGGACAATTTTGAAAATTTAACAAAATTTAGTATCTCAAAATAAAAAGTAGACAAATATTTTGGAACAAACTAAAATGGAAAGGTAGACTTAACAAAATGGGATGGAGGAATACTATTTCAGGTAAATTACAGATACATTCTTTGAGATTTGTTTAAAATACGATTTGTTTCCTGCGATTATGAAAATTACATATCACCCTTTGAAATTTCTAATTTCATAACAAATAATATTTATTAATAAATCATCAAGTCAATTAAAATTTTTAATGATATCAGAAATTTATTTTAATTAATAATTCAGGAAATTTTATCATTATATAGTAGAGTAGTTATGAATTTTATTTTTTAGTTAATTTTGTTAAATAAAAAATTCCAATAAGAGAATATTTGTAATTTTCTAAAGTTGGGGAATAATCTGTGTTTTAAACAAATCTGAAGGAGTGTTTAATTTACCCTATTATTTTTTCTGTTAAGTGATCTTATGCATTTGTTTATTATTAAAATTTAAAATAAATTATAAATACACCTCTGAAGTTTACTTAAAATATAGATTGATACTTATAATTTTAAAAATTACATCTCATCTCTTTAAGTTTTTAATCGTATAATAAATAATCTATTTTATTGATAAATCATTAAATCAATTAACAATTTTTAATGTTATCAAAAATATATTTAATTAACAATTCAAGTAATTTTATTA